AAATAAAAAATAAATAAAAACACTTTTTGGCTGTAAAGAAAAATGAGATTTGCAGGTAAATGGATGGGACTAGAAAAGATTATACTGCTTGAAGTAATCTAGACCCAGAAAGACTAATGCATATTCTTGCTTGTTTGTGGGTCCTAGCTTCTAATCTTACATTATAGCAAAGAATCAACCTAGTTGTCCATCCTCAAATGAATGGGTAATGAAAATTCAGGGTGCTCGAGAGATGGGGTGGGTGGGTGAGACTATTCAACTCTAAAGAAATTTGTAAAAATATAAAAATAAAGAAAATTGTAATCATAAAATGTACAGAAAAATGATGGAGTTAGGATGTATAATATTAAGCAAAATCATACAACCTCAGAAATAAAACCCTGCATGTTCTAAAAGACACAGTCTTGTAGTAGACGTCCTGTTTCTCTTGCTCTAGTAATCTTTCCACCTCCTCTTCCACAGTGTTCCCTGAGACTTGGGTATATGTGTTGTATTGTAGATGGTAAGTTGGGGCACACCACATCAGTTGTTGTCTACATTTTGACAAGTTGTAACTGTAATGGTCTCTCTGTCTGATACAAAAAGAAGCTTCTTTGATTGTTTGGTGTGTGTGTGTGTGTGTGTGTATGTGTGTGTGTGTGTGTGTGTGTGTGTAAGCTACACTTAACTGTGGGTATAAGGGTAAGTGTTTAGAATGCAGTTAGGAATCATGCAAGCCTATAGAGTAGAAGTAGTAGGTTCTCCTAAGAGCCATGACCTCACTAGCCACAGATGATCAGTTCAGTTTACAGTATGAGGCCTGATTTCCTCATGTTAGGTGGGCCTGAAGTCCATTGGACTGTTGGTGGACTGTCAAGATGTGAGTGCACTATTGCACCCATAGGGCTGCCATGCAGTGCTGGTCATTGTGGTTCCGAGACATCACAGCTGGCTGAGAGGATCGACCACTTTCCTGCCTGTGCAGTCTGCATACCGTCTTCTGGTACTGTGAAAAACTGGGCCTCAGGGAGAAGAAGGCTTTCGGGTCAGACCCAGCTCCATCTTCTGAGGCTTTTACCAAAGCATGTTGTCCTCAGCAGTAGGAACTCACCTTAACCTCTTGGAGGCAACTGCAGGCAATTGTTTGGGAGTCTTGGATTCCCCCAGCCAACAACTCTAAAGGAGGTTTCTCAAGCCTGGCCTAGTGCTTTTTTGTTTTAAGTCTTTAAGATTTTAGTCTTTGGTTTTTGGAGATAAGCATTAGCACCCCCAAGTAGCATAACTTCACTTAAACTGCATCTGTGCATGTACACATAGACCTATATACATTATATGTAATTTTAAGTAAATAAAAACAATATAATTCCCTGTGACTGTTTCACATATCTTTAGTGTTATTTCTCTTTTCTCCCTCTCTTCCCTTCCCTATTTTCCTTCCTTCCCCATCCCAATTATTCCCATGTTTAGCCTTCACATAACCTGTATCTTGCTCTTACCCTTTCTAATGCTCCTTTCTTATCCATGGTCCCCTTTTCCTTTCCTGGTTGTACAGTTACTCCAAATTATATACTCACATCTGAAGATTTGGAGCCAGGAACTACAGATTTGAGAGAGAACATATGATGTTTGCCTTTCTGGATCTGCGTTACTTCACTCAATAAAAAATTTCAGTTTCATCCATTTATTTACAAATTTTATGGTTTAATTTTTCTTTACAACTTTTCATAGTGTATGTGGACCACATTTTTGTTACCCATTCATCAGTCGAAGGACATTTAGGTTGTTTCCATTTCCTAGCCATTGTGACTAGAACAACAATGAATGTAGCTGAGCAAGTATCTGTGGAGTACATCTGCATCAGCTTTCTGTTTTCAATGGTTTCCTTCACTGCTTCAGCTTTTCTTTAGTTCCTTTTCACAAGTTGGGAGTTAGCTGGGTGGGGTCTTCCCTTGAGGTTACTGTTCCCTTTATTCCCTTTAGGATCAGGCTTTTGTTTAAACCTTCTCTCTCCTTGAGCCCTGGGCTTAGCTCTATTATACTTCTTGGTGCTCCTTTTTGTCCTCAAACTGTACATTTTGTATCTTTTTTTTTTTTTTTTTGCTCAGCTTCCTTCTTTTCCTTATAGATCTGCATAAAAGTAATCACTAATAGCTATAGGACAGAGTCAAAATTAGGCTGCCTTGATATCTCCTCTGCCAATGCCATTTAATCCAAAACTCTTCAATTTATCCTCAGGCAAATTTTTCGAACAAAGGCAAAAAGCAGCCACATCCTTTGCCAAGATATCACAAAAACCATCTCTAGGCTACTTAGATTCTTCTCCTCTGAAACTTCTTGAGTTGGGTCATCATAATCTACATTGCTCTTAGCACCACTGCCTTCCCTACTCCTATTAGTATGGTCCAGTAAGCCCTACTTAAAGCATTGAACTGCTTTCTTAATCCAAAGTCTCAAAGTTTACATCCTGCCAACAAGAAGCATGATCAGGCCTGTCATAGCAATACATGACTCCTGGTACCAACTTCTGTCTTAGTCAGTTTTTACCACTCTAGTTGGCGGCATGAATGTGGAACAGCAGAGCTTAAAAATGAGGTGGACTAAAGTCTCATGCAATCACTAACAGAGCATCAGATAGTTTCTATTCTGGAGCCTTCTGAGGGTTAAGCAAGGTCAAATGTGCAAAGTTCAATTGATTTCAAGCTGTATTAGATCACATGAGTTTAGGCTGTATGCAGTTGTGAGGACAACCTGTGCTTGGAAACACCATTCTGAATGATAGTAGATGGTGGGTTATCTGAAGTAACCCACTCCTATTTACTACACCTGGAAGGGGCACAAAAGTACATCCCAAGAACAACCATATTATGGAAAAACACAGGTTAAAAGACTTTTTTTCTTGTTTCCTTGGAGTTACCTCACAAGCTCTCAGAATTCTCCTCATACAGTTTCATTCATGGACTTTATTCAGACAGTCAATATTCTATTGCTGTGAAGAGACCAGAACCACAGCAACTCTTATAAAAGAAAACATTTAATTGGGGAGTCTTGCTTACAGTTTCATAGGTTCAGTCCATTAACCATCATGGTGGGAAGTGTGGCGGCATGCAGACAGACATGGAGGGGAGATGAGAGTTCTACATCTGGATCAGCAGGCAGCAGGAAGGGAGAGACACTGGGCCTGGCTTGAGCATTTGAAACCTCACAGCCCACCCTCAGGGACACACTTCCTCCAACAAGGCCACACCTACTCCTAGTCAAGTAGTGCCACTTTCTACTGATAAAGCATCCAAATCCATGAGCCTATGGAGGCTGTCCCTATTCAAACCACCATAATTCCTTTGGACATGGCTAAGGAGTAGGTCATCTGGTAGACTAATTTGTAGCTTTTTGAGAATTCTCCACAGTGCAATCCTATAAACAGTGAATGAGGGTTCTCCTTTTCCCAAGTATTGCCAACATTTGTTATCGGTTGTTTTCCTAGTCTTAGCTATTCTGACTGCAGTAAGTCAAAAATTTAAAGTTGTTTTATTTTGTATTTGTCTAATTACTAAGGGAGCCTGTCTTAGTTATTTTTCTACTGCTGAGACACCATGACAAAGGTAACTTATAGAAGAAAGCATTTAATTTGGCCCTACAGTTTGAGAGGGCAGTTCTTTGACCATCATAGTGAGGAGCATGGCGGTGGCAGCAGGCACATCACTGGAGCAGTAGCTGAGAGCTCACAGTCTATCCACAAGCACAGGACTGAGAGAGCTAACTGGGAATGGCATGGGCTAGTTACCTGAATGACACTCCTCTATCAGGACCACACCTCCTAATCCTTCTCAAATTTCCCACCAACTGGGAACCAAGTATTCAAGTATATGAGCCTATGGCAGCCATTTTCATTCAAACCACCACAGATCCTCCCAGGTTTCTAGCATTTGTGGTTTACAGCTGATTTCCTACAAATCATCTGTGCTTTTTGTCAGGGAATAAGCATTGAATTTCTTTTCATTATTTTAAAAAGTCTGAGCAACATTTGTCCGTTTTAGTCTTTACTAGCCTTTTAGGTTCCCTCAGATTGGCTCAATGGTTTTGACTTCACAGCTTGAAGGGATTTTTAAGGTTCCTGCGCTGTGACTTACCCGAGGCATGTCAGTTTCTCTTGAAAGCAAGGCAGCTTCAACTACCTGAGTTCCTTGAAGAGATCCAACTTGTCTTTTCTGTCACAGAACAGGTCTAGAATTTGGAACAGTGGATGTTGACAGGACTACTTCTTCAGCCTTCTCTGTCCCGTGTCTAAATAAAGAACTTTTTAATGTCTTTGGCAAATTAAAAAAAAAAACTTAGATTATTGCTATTATTGTTATTTAATTTTTAAATTATTTTATTTTTCCATGGTGCTGGGGAATGAACCCTGTAGTGCACATGTATTTTATAAGATTGATGCACTGAGCCAAAAGAGCAACACAAACACAAAAAGCCCACAATATTTTTCTGGTCTCTTGTAGTTAGGACAAGGTAGACATCAACTGTTAGGGTGTAAGATTTCTAAGATTGGGAATTGAGCAATCCTTTGCATTTCAACCAATTGATGTGCATCTAGGATTCTTAATTGGGGCAAGTTTGCCCTCAAGAATGTCTTCTGCTATATAGGGGCCATATTGGTATCTGATGATAAAGGCCTGGGTACAGCTAAGTGATCCATGTTGCATACATAGCTCCTACAGCCAGAATGTTGGAAGGGTCTGTACTGAGCCTGGGGATTTCCACACATTAGTATTTGACAGTGGAAAGGTGCATAGTGACATCTGCTTTCAGCATCAACACCCTGTGAAGGTAAGTTGTGTTATTCTTACCCCAGAGGTCCTGGGAGCTCACTGGAAGGAAGCAGGTGTCAAGCGTGGACTTGGGTCTTTAAGAAAAGTTTAATCTATGATACTCAGAATGCAAATGGCTTTCTTTGTTTCACTCACTGTTCTTTTGCAGGGACATATATTCAAAGCATTAAATTTTATAATTTATTTTTAATATTACAGATCTAGAAATGGCCATTGCTTACTGGAACTTAGTGCTTAATGGAAGATTTAAATTCTTAGACTTATGGAATAAATTTTTGTTGGTAAGTTAATGTTTTCTATAGTTTCTGTTTTAATCTTAAGATTGTACTGTAGTTAAATATTAATTTATTTCAAGGCATCTTTAATTTCAGAGCATGTCATGAACGTAGAGTGAAAAATTTGATTACCAGAATTTCATTATGCAGCTGTTACATTTTCCCATGTTTAGCTGGACTAACTTTTCCCAACTGTTTCCAAGGTTTAAAGGCTTTTTGTTTTTTGATGTTTTAATAGGAGCATCATAAACGATCAATACCAAAAGATACGTGGAATCTTCTGTTAGACTTCAGCTCAATGATTGCAGATGACATGTCCAATTATGATGAAGAAGGTAGCAAAAATATTTGCCTTACCTGAACTTCTGTCCACTGTGTCCATGGAAGTGATAGTCCTGTTCTGAGCTTTTGTTCATTCTCTTCTCTCCCTCCCTCTCCCTCTCCCTCCTGTGTGTGTGTGTGTGTGTGTGTGTGTGTGTGTGTGTGCGTGCGCGCGCGCACGCTGGTGGCATAATTGCTGAACACCTGCTGTAACACAGAAGTAGAACCAAGTTCCTAGTCTTGGTTTTTCCTCTTTGCCAACTGCCATGAAGGAGGGTGGGTGAAGTCATAGCTCAGTTGCAGAGCATTGTGGAGCCTGGGCCCTCTCCATTGCACTGAACAATTACAGGGGGAAAAAATCTTACCAGTATTTCTCCTCTAGAAGAACATAAGAAATATTCAACCATATCTTGCATGGTCAATTTACTGTAAGAGTTATGGTCTCTTAATGTATTTTATACTCATTTGAATCCAGTGAGGGGTTTTTTTTTTGTTTTTGTTTTTGTTTGTTAGTCTCGTCTGTAAACTCATGAAGTGTGCTGGATTTGTAGAATTTGAAATGACTTCAACTGCCTGGTCTTAGTTGCATTCAGCCACTATCTGTTAAATGCTTCTCACCATTTCTCCATCTGTGTGGACAGCATGCCCTCCCCAGCAGCATTCCCAGTTAATTCTTCGCAGTTATCTAGTCCCTTGTGAGACCCAACTGTTGATTTTTTTGAGATTGTTAAATGTAGGATATACTTTGGAAAATCTCTCGTGTCTTTTATCTCCGTATAAGTCCCCTAGGACCACTTGGCTTAGCCAGCCATAGTCTCTCTTCTCCCCATTCTCATTGTGGTCACCTTACTAAGAGTGACAAGTGCTCGTAAGGTGGCTGGAGGACTTGGTGCCTCATCATGAGATAGGCTGCCTGACTTTAGTAAAGCCTTCAGAAAACCACACTCCATATAACTGATGTATTGCTCCAAAGAGGTGTTTCCATTGATCAAGCAATAACCCCATTTTAGAGTAATAGATTAGAGAGAAGACAGGAATATATTAATAGAAGACATAAAGATAGAGTCTTTTAAAGATGGATCAGTGGAAGTAAAGAAGAGTAATATTTTAATTCTTATGAGGGCGCTATAAAAACACCAGGATTCTGTTGAAATATTAGCTTTTATCCTGCTTTTCTCTAGTTCCTTTCCTCTCATATTTTTCTTTCCTTTTTCTTCAGGAGCATGGCCTGTTCTTATTGATGACTTTGTGGAATTTGCACGCCCTCAAATTGCTGGGACAAAAAGTACAACAGTGTAGCACTAAAGGAACCTTCTAGAATGTACATAGTCTGTACAATAAATACAACGGAAAAATGCACAGTCAATTTCTGCTGGCTGGACCGAACTGAAGATCAATCCTCACGGTTCAAACTGAGGGTTGAGACAAACTCTAAGGATACATCTTGGACCATATCGTACTCCATCTTCTACTGGTGGTTTGGGCTTGTCTTCTAGTCTGGGCCACTCTAAACATTTATAATTCCAACATTGTGGATTTCATCTTACCTGTGGACCATCTTAGTTTGTCTTCCCATAAGTCATAGAAGCTCGATGGTGATAATTTTGAGGGTTCCATTCCTGCATAAAGCACAATGCTGTCTTCATCAGAAAACAGTTTGGCATAAGAATTAAACATAATAATGAACACCACAAACAATTTATAAAAACTTCTTAAGTATATGCTTTGGGCTAGTTGCAAAGACTCTGCTGGTAGCACTTCAAATGAGAGTGATTTATCTGAGTGTACTGGATCTGGAATGGTGTTTGGTTGAGGGAATGTAATTTTCCTGGCAAACCACATGTACTGTTGATGTGAGTGAAATAGCTGATGAAAGAAATGTCAAAATACCAACACATGAGAAAATTTAGGATGACTTGGTGACTACCTGAAATATGTCTTGTGTTTCAGACTCTCTCACAAAGGTTCTCCAACACAGTGTGTGGTTTTCCTGCCCGTGTTTAGACATAGTAGTCCTGCGGGGAGCTTTTATTTACAGATGCTGTAACAGGACATAGTGTTAGAGTCCACTCACTCTCAATGCATCACACACCACAGAACTGGATTTCACTATGCTTCTGAAATGCTTCTACGCCTTTTGAATAAGTTAAACTATTTCATTTGTTTTGAATGTTTTGCATTGCTATACAATACAATATTCTAAATTTAGGCATGAGGGTTTAGTTTTTGTTTTTTAAATTTTTGTCATCGCACTATGGAACACAATGCAGTTCACTTAATTTATAAGAAGATAGTAGGATTTACATTTGAGACGTGGTTGTGATGAGCCGTGAAGTTCAATATTTATCATATAGGCACTGCTCTTTCAGGCAATACTCGAGCCTTGACGACTTGTTATTGTGTTGAAATGGCTTTACTGCTAAATCACTGTGGTTGCCAAATCTTTCCTCCAAGAGCAGAGATTTTCAAACAAGCGAGTGCTGGTGCGGAAAACCAATGGCTCTGTTCTATAAATTATTTGGACTTTTGACTGTTTTTGTCTCACTTGCATTTGCTATTTCCACATCAAAGCAGAACGCTGTCTTGATTGTATTTTATTTTTTTCATGACAGGACCCATGAATCGCTCTCCTGCTGAAAAGGCTTGTTTCTCTGTTAAGACACTGACATGTGCAAAGGGGTCTTCATAAATATTTCCAGGAGGATGTTAAAAATGATGAACTTAGATGTTGGATGTCTGGCCTTCGATAGGGACAGAGTTTGCTCCATGTATCCAGGTCCTCTTCAGGGCACAAAGGAATGTACTTTGGGAGAGCAGGGCATTTTATGCAGATATGGAAATGATTAAAACTGCTTTTTAGTCACATGATTTGGAAATTGCATAGAATGCTTACCTTATAGATGTATCATTTTTCCAATCATAACTTTAATTTAGAAAACATTTCAAATACCAAAAGAAAGCTTGGAGTACATTTCTATTCACCTTACAAGAATTGGCTATTAAAAGAGAAAAGAATTTGCTTTTTTCAGTATTTCTTGATTTTATTTTGTAAATATGAAGAACTTCAATTATGAAAAAAATTAAAGATATACATACATATGTATATCTTTAAAAGTTTTACAGACATATTGTTTATTTCCTACGTGGAATATTTTGAGTTCTGGTATTGTTTTCAGATTGATTGATTTAAGTATGATTAATTTTCAAATGAAAGCCCATTAGCTTCTCTCCCCACCTCATAAATTTTTCTTCATAAAAAATCTTAATATTCGTTTGTGGCCTAATGCTTTGAGTTTTACAGATCTTATTTTTCAATGCAAGATTTTTCCACTTTGTCATCAGTTTGGTACTAAACATCTACAATTACTGTGTAATTATAAACAAAAATATATAAAGCTTTAATATAATTATGTAGCAAAAAAAGTTAAGGTTGTTCACCATGATGGCATCTTAGAATTAAACAAAACTATTACTAGGGCTCAAAAAAGAAGACTGATTTAATGTGTTTATTCTGAGGACAAATGTCTGATTATAGGGAATGGTTTGTACTGAAATGCTTACACTGTTGGGGGAGGGGCATCAGTGAGTCTGGAGAGAAACGGCACACACACACACACACACACACACACACACAGCCAGCTTAACTGCTTCAGTTCACAGGTTTCGGTCTTTGTTTGCGTCAGGTCTCCATGCAGAATCTTTTTTTCCCCCCAGACAGAACTATAGGGAGAGTTTACTTTTGCCAAATGTCAGAACAGGTACACATTTCTCAATGTAATGCTTTTTAAATAGTAAAATGTATAAAATGAGAAGTACCCACATATAAAAATACTTGAGATGAAGGTTATCTTCAGTGACTATCATCTGCATATCTCTGTAAGCTCAAGTGTGTCTTTTGCAATCCCTGTCATATCACCAACAGAGGCAATAAAAGCTTCAGTGAAATTGCCGTGACTAAATCTTTTCACATATTATTTCAGTGTTTTAGTTTTTTCACCAAACCAAAATATGCTTGAGGACTTCCAGGAAGAGTAATTATTCATGGAAGAGCATTGAAATGGCACATTCGGGGGAAGAGAAGAAGTGTTTACTGTCAATGTTTACAACTGTACTCGGCTGCTTTATTTATGCACTGTGCTAGCTGTATACTGTGGCATTGTGAGTGTGCATCCTTCATCATGCACTGCAAAAGTTTTAGTGAGTGAAAGTAAATTCACTCAGTGAAAACATCAGAAACCTTTCTAGTAATATCTCTCCTGAACAATTCTTAACAAGGTATACTATTTTTTTTTTCTCCAAGATCTACGTGAAGAATTACTTATTTTTTTCTTTGATCATGAGAAGCTTTGAGTCATTTTGTGCTCACCCTGCTTAGGTGTTTAGGTATGTTGCTGTTAGGATGATTGGTTGGAAGCCTGTAATTTTGACATACAAATAGCAAGTTGACCTGAAGGAACAATTTTGGAATTAAGAAAGGAAAAATGGTGTTGGGAAAATTTATAATTGTTTACAAAGTATGCCTTTGTAAAAGTGATTCAACATTTAGTAGAGAATTTATGTGGCTCTGAATGTTCAATTGTGTATTTATTAGGAAATATTTACCTGACACCTCCAGATTTTTTGTTGTTGTTGTTGTTACCTTAAACTTTAATAATATGGTTTATATTGAATGCTGAGATGTTTTGATAAGAGTTTATCAAATTTGATAATGTAATGATGTTTTTAAATGTGAACTATTTATCATATATCTTAATAACTGAATTGTGGTTTTTATATAACAGATGATGAACAGGGTCCAATTATGGCTCACCATTGAATTGATTATAAACTTGAGTGTATTTCTCAACCCTTTCATTGCTTCTATTTTTATAATCATGGCAGTAATTTTTATTTCTTAGGAATTTAGTGAAGTTAATTTCTGGTTTCCATTGGTTCCATTTGGTTAACTGAATTCATGTTATTTGTACCACACTCTGGAGGCAGGTACAGACAAGCTCAGAGCTGTCATGGATGGGTTCTCAGAGCACTCTGGCCATAGTTTCTGTATTACCTCTTTGGAAAGTATTATTTCCTGCAGACCAACTAACTCTTTGGCAGCTTTGCCCTGGGCTCAGTATTGGTGTTAATGCAGTTTTTTACTTCTCTTTGGTTGACTTTTTCACCTTTAATTATATGCCTCTGTTGGGGGAATGTACACATGGTTGCAGGTGCAGGTTGAGGCCGAAAGAAGACATAGGATCCTCAGGAGCTGGAGTTACAGGCAGTGGGGAGCCACCTAATGTGGCTGTTGAGAACTGACAGGACCAATAAGCGTACTTTAATTTCTCCAGCCCTGGGTTAGTTTAAAAAAAAAAATCTCATAAGTCAATTATGGTGAAAAGGAAACAGCCTTTATAGCTGCCTAAAAGGTAATGGTGTTATGTAGGATGATGGAAAGAGAATTACTTTGTAGTTATTCACTTTTGCTTTTGTTGTTACTGTTTTGAGATGGAATCTCATGTATTCCAGGCTGTTCTCAAAATCACTGTGTAGCCAAGGATGTCCTTGAACTTCTGGTCATCCAGCCCCCATCTTTTGAGTGCTGGGATTACAAGTGTACACTACCACACCTGGTTTATCTGGGGCTGGGGATCAAAGCCGGCATTGAGTGTGTTAGGCAAGTCCTGTACCAACTACTCAGCTATATCCCCTACTCTTATACTGAGACTAAAAATATGTTTAAGTGTATACAAAGTTTCTCTACATTCACAAGCAAGTTGTATTAGTAACTTTGTTTGATTTTTTTTTTTTTTGCAGTGATGCTGTTCCAAGATCATCAAGTAGTTCATACTTGTTTGTCTGCTATAATGTGAGGCCTTTGAGCCATCAGATACAGATGACCCTACTTAATTCAGAACTTTGCGTTTACGCTTTATCTTTTGTGGATGGGTTGTTCTGTTGTTGTTGTTGTTTGCTTGTTTTGGTAGTGTGGGTTTTGTTTTGAGACAGGGTTTCCCTGTGTAGACCAGGCTGGCCGTGAACTCAGAATAATCCACCTGCCTCGCCTCCTGACTGCTGGGATTAAAGGAGCGCTCCACCACATCCTACTGCTTTTCTCTTTTATAAGTGTTTTTTATGAGGTTTGTTACGATTGGATTTTTTAAACTTTGTTTTGGCTTTGTGTTTTTAGAAATGGGTCACTGCTATAGCCCAGGGTTGCCTCCGATGATTAATTCTGTCTCTCAGCTTCCCAGATGTTGAGATTAAAGGCAGGTGGTACCATGCCCAGTTTGGGCTGTTTTTCTTCCCCCCTTTTATTTTACATGTGTGGGTGATTTGCCTTTATGTATGTCTGTGCTTCCTGTGCAAGGAGGCCATAAGAGGGTGTTAAATTCCATGAGATTGCAGTCAGATGCTTGTGAACCACCATGTAGCTTCTGAGAATGGAACTCATCCTAGGGAGGAACAGCCAATGCTCTTAACTGCCCAGACATCCCTCCAGCTCCTTTGGTTGTTTTTTAATATTTGTGTCTTAAAATGTTTTGTTTTTGCGCTTGAAGTGGTCTCACATAGCCCAGACTGGCCTTGAACTCACTGTGCAACTGAGGATGATCTTGAACTCCTGACCCTCCTGCTTCTACCTCCTGAATGCTGGGATCACAGGCATGAACCCCCATGTCTGGTATGCAGTGCTGGAGAGGGAACCCAGGGCCTCCTGAAACTGGACGAACTGAGCTGCACACCTGTCACTGAGATGTGTTAGCAGTTGACTGAGAAGGTAAAGTAGCGTTACCTCTTTGACAAAGCTGCCAGCCAAGGGAGAGACATGGAGACTAAGAGGAAAGTTGGCCCTTCCTGGAAGAAAGAATCCAGCAAATTCAAGGAAACAGAAGAGTTTTGAACCCAAATAGTGAAAACTAAGTTTGATTTGAAGCAAGTGTTTGAAGCATACAAGGAACAGCTTAATTAGCAGATATGGAAGAAGAGAAAGAAGAGCCGTTTTACATCTAGAAAGTGTGTATTTAAAAGCATCTTCAATGCAAATATTAAAATTTTATTTTGGGTTACTACTCAGAAAATTTTGTCTAATGAAAAAATTGGGTGATATCAAGCAAGAAATTTTCCAAAAGAAAATAGCAATAGTGACGGGGTAAGTTTAGAGTGAAACAGTTGTGTAACATGGCCAAAATGCTGTGCTGCCGTGAACAGTGGAGGAGGTTTCTATAGGCTGCGTTGTGTCCTCAGCAGACAGTAACCATCACTGTGAACAGGATGCGGAGACGGGATCCTTTGCAGGCAACACACTTTCAAGCAAATGTGGACTGTGTCCTCCCATCATTAGAGTTCTTATTGAGTCTCTGGACTGCCAGCCAGAGCCTTAGCAGTCTTCCTCGGTGTTTGTTTTCATAGCTCTTCATCGGCTCACAGGAAGCCGAGGGTACAGTTCAGTGGTGCCAACACCAGAAATGGCTCCATTAAAGGATTATCCATGTGCTGTAAAACTCGGTCATTAGCAGGACACAGTTCAGTGGCTCAGCAGATTCGAGCATTGTATCATCACAATCAAGTTTTAGAACGTTGCCACCTGACTGGAAATGTCCCCTGAGCCGCTCCTGTCCCTTCCTTAGGCAACCCGGCTGATGTGCTGTCTGAATACATTTTCCCTTTTAGGGTGAGTCATGTAGTTCCTAGACTTCTGCATCACCTTGTGGTGTGCTATTTCTGTGCCATGTGTGTGGTTAGCTCCTCAGACTGCTGCATGCTTCCACTGTGGAGTGAACCAGATCCCATCTCTGTACTCATTTGTGGTAGACATTTAATGTGTCTACTTTTTTAAAAAGAGATGATGCTATGGATGTTCCTGTATTTGTCTTTGTGTGGATCCATTTTAATTTCTCTCACATATTTAGTGTTGGAATTGTGGCTGTACCATTTAGAAATGTTCTACACCACACAAGTATTGCTGTTTCTCCACATCCTTGTCAGTCCTTCATACACATGCCCATACTGGGGGATATATTTTTCAAATTAGCATTCTTATTTACAAGATATACAATCTGGGTGACTTTCAGAAGGTCTGAGAAATTGCTGTAGAATTGGTAAAAAGATGTGAAATTAGTCTAGGCTACACTCCTCCTCGAAGCCAGTGTTTTCTGAAGCAAGTACAAGTGAGTGAGAGATGAGTTTGAGGGTTGGTGCTGGTGGCTGATGCTCTGGCTGACAAAGTGTAAGCGATGGTAGACAATCACTGGTGAGGGTCATTAAAATGGCACGAAGTACCTGCAGTTAGCATTTCATTAAGTTTTCAGAGCTTTTACTTTTGAGGTACCTTTGAGATTTTAGTTAAATTCTTAAAGATGTAGTTACCGTTCTGTTTCAGCTGCCTGTGCAGCTGTATAAGGTTGCTTCAGCCTACATTGGTCCCTGGTCATAGGTTCAAGGGCACTGGGATGAAGCTTAGCTTGCAGACAGTCCCTGGCTAGCATGTGAGGGCGGCCCTGAGTTCAGTCCACTACTACAAATGAATAAATAAAACACGACAACCTGCTTGTGCTTTTCTATGCGGTTGTGTCTTTTAAAATTTTAATGAAAAATTTCAAAAAGGAAAAATAGTGTAACGAGTCCATTTCAACTTGCTTGGTTCATGGAAATCTTATATGCATGCTACCTGTGTTTGGAACCATGATTCATTTTGAAGCAATTCCCAGAAAGCAAATTATTTAGCTAGGAATTATTTCAGTCTAAAGATTTTTAAACATCATCTTTTATTTTTCCATTTAATTGCCAGTAGTTTCTTAGTGTTAGTAACTAGGATGTAAACTACACTCCCTTACACAACATTGCAAGTCAGTGTTTAGATAGCATCCATACATTACATATGTCTTTGCAAGTCTCTTTGCCTATACCTTATAGAGTTATTTGAGAAAGCTACCATGGCTTTAATTTTTTTGTGCAATTTCAAATTT